GACAACATCCGCTTTAGAATAGCCTATTATGTATGAATTATAAAATCTAAAAATCAACAAACAAATATTTAAAAGTTAGAAATGAATATTTATATTTTTTTAAATAGCTTAACTTTAATATAAATATAATAAAATGAACTTTTCTTATTGTGATTAATATATATATATTATTTTTCTCGAAAACAATAAAAAATACTAAAGACATAACGAAATTTATTGAGTGGTCCCCGAAACGACATTGTAATTGCATTGTTAACTGGTTTAAAAACCAGTTAACAGTGCAACAAGTTTAATCATACAAACTACTTTTTTCGAACAGACGTTCGAAGGTCAGAATTCTCATATTGTTTTCCAATAATTTATCTTAGAATTCATCGAATCTCTTTCGCACACATTTCGTCTTCAGTCTTAAATTTATACTTATAAAATAATATCTGAATGTATGGAAAAATTAACGAAGTAAATCTATTTTAATTATAATTTCTTTTATTTATAAATAATTTTAACTTAAAATAAGTCAATATGTTTTCCTATGTTATACAATTATTATACATAATTTATAGAATCGTGCATAAAAAAGTCATTTACGATATTTGGTTGATAAAATGTAACATATGTTTTTAAATAACGGGATAAAGAAGAAATGAAACTAAATTTTATTGCTTTTTGTAACAAGAGATGAAAATTAATGCATCCTTCCTCATACATGCTAAAACTTCTTATCTATCGTAATATTAAAATATTTATTGTTTTGATCGTAGATATCTATCAGATTTCTCTAAAGAAATAATCCGTGATACTCATTATAAATATATCATTAATTATTTAGTCACATAATTAGTTATTGTATTGGCATAAGAACAAGTAACTTGTAAGTAATTGAGTTTAGGGTAATAAAGAGTTTCTTGCAGCAACTATTGATATATAAATGGCAAAAACAAAACATTTTAATGATTACAAGAAATTATATAAGAGAAGATATGTTAATTTTCAATTTTTTCTACGAGGAAAACTAAAACTAGAATTATAACCTGTTATTTCACAAGTAGGCGATTTGCATTTTCATCAACATAATACTATAACTCACATTTTTCTGCGCGATTCTAAATTATAAACACATAATAATTAAAGAATATACATTTAAAATATGTTCTGGTTAAGTTATATCTAAATTAATTTTAAATTATTTATGTATTAAAAAGTTTATAACTAAAATCAATTTATTTATAATAAATATAAACATTAATGAATTAATAAAGAAAATTTATAATTAAACAGATGAGAAACGATAGACTGCGTAAACGTACAGTAAAATAGTAAAAACGACTTTAAAAGTTTTAAAATTATTTTCAAAATAAGATAAAAATCAAAAATATTTAATTAATTAATTTGAACGCTACAGAAAAGATAAAAAAACCACAAAAATATATGAGTTATTTTAGACTGAATTAAAATAATTAAATATTTAAAACAAATACAGTAAAGCATTAAAAATCCAGACTGATTAGAGCCTGACAATCTGAATTTTCAAATTCAGAGTAAATTAGCATTTTAAGTAATGTAAACTTCAAATGTACAGTAGCCTGATGTAAGTTTAGGTGTTCTAAGTTCAAGTGAGTATTTCACAAGGGACGTAGGAATACTTACACAGATACAATTTACTGAATCAATATATCTAAATAAAAGATATACTGATTATAATTTCAAAACTTAAAAATAAAACTTTGAATTTTGAATGAATGATAGAACATCAACAACCAAGCTACCATTGATAGGGTTAGTCGACGACCTAATCCGGAGTTTCGATTCTTTGCTGTAGTCTTATTTCAATGAATGTAATTAAAAAAAGCAATTATATTTTGTGCATTTTCGACGTGATCTGTTATAATTAATATTGAAATAATATATTCAAATGACTAGTTGCTTTAAATTTAAGATTATCTATATAAAATAATATACTGTATTTTGCTTTTTATAAAGTGTTAAAATATTTGGTTTTATTATAGAATTATATGCATTTTCTTTTAAATATTTTGAGATATAGGCCTAAAATTCGATGCAACGAAGCAGATTATACAGAGCGATCGTAAAGTCGCTTCGCATTAGTTTGTCTACTCGTCTACTGCGGAGCGACTTCACGATCGAATTTTACAATTATGATAGACTGTTTTAATTCATATATACTGTATTCTATTCACGTATCACATTCCAAAATAAATAAATAAATAAAAAGTCATTATAATTTTAAAACAAATTTTTGTAGTAGTCATTTATCAGTTTCGAGACATCTGAAACGAACATTTCATTCTTAAAACATGTTTTGAAAGTATAAAAACTCTTGGTACTACTACTTTATTTGTTTATTGCAACCACTTATGAAATCACCGTAAAGCAGTATATAAAGATCAAAACTATTGGTTTATATCAAATTTGCTTTCTAACAACATCAAGCTTAGCTCCATTTATCGTATCGTAAGTTCATAATATAGTATAGAGTATTACTTCTTTATGGTTGCATTGATCTTGGGTTATGTTCATTGTAAGTAAAAACGACTTTAGCACTTTAGCATAGTTTTAGAATTTGTGTCTTTATATTTATAATTTATTTTCTTGTTTATTATGAAAATGTTTATCGCTGTCGATACGTATTTAGTTTTGATAAGAATTATATTTATTACAGATACCAACGCAGGAGGTTGTTTCTGCTATAGTCGAGCTGGTACTTATTGCGGTTTCCAAAGAGAACACGGTTATGTCGGTGGAGATTGCTCTAGAGATAATATGTATACCTGTTCGGGTGGCCATGGAGCATTAGCGGGTTGGGAAGGTAGATGCAGACGTGGCCGATGCACTGGAAGTTCTCCTGCTGGTCGCGATTACTGTAATTATGGAAGCGAGAGAGGCAAGAAGAAGAGATTTGCAGAATTGATTGGTCTTAAGAAAGCTTAATTTATATTTCATTAATATAAAATAAGTGTTATACTTAAATAAAATTTAGATTTATCTATCTTGTCGTAATTATTGATTTCTTATAATGTTTTTTCTTGCACTGATTTAAGACAATGTCCTATTAATTAGCATTATAATAGGATGACATCGATATATGACATTACTTATTAGCAATTTTTATGTTTATTATCTTTACGATTTAATTTCGAATATAATGAAATTTCTATTTGATTGTAAACATTATTTTGTAAACATTAAAGTATATACAAAATGATCTAATGAGTTTTGTATTAATTATAACAAGTAAAACGGCAAGGCCATGTTTGGGTCTATGTCTCGGAGACTCATAGCGCGACTGCACATCGTTTTCTAAGGAAAAGAGAAAAATAAGCACTCTCTAATGAGGAAATTAATGGGTCAAAGGGATCCGAATGAGGTGTCAGCAAAACACAAGAAAATCGAAACGACCAGAGCAAGAGAATACACGCGTAACGTGTCATACGTTTGTCAAAATTCGATTGTCAAACGTTCTCATTTCGAACTTCCCAACCAGCAACCCATGTGCAAACCTCGCACTAGCGCCTGTTTGTAGAAACAGTGTCGCCATTTTGTATTATTTTGACTCAGTTCTCGGTTCCCTGATTACCTACAAGTCTGATTTCTTTTACGTGCGCTTGATTTGCGCACCAAATACTCTATGCCAAATTGCAACTCTTGACATTTACACCTTCATACCTCTAAGGTGTGCAGCGGTTGGCAGCAGCGCGATTTTATAGACAAGACATAGTCTCGTCAAAAATAGCTTAACTTCAATATAAATATAATAAAATGAACTTTTCATATTGTGATTAATAAATTATATATATTATTTTCAAGAGATGAAAATTAATGCATCCTTCCTCATACATGCTAAAACTTCTTATCTATCGTAATATTAAAATATTTATTGTTTTGATTGTAGATATCTATCAGATTTCTCTAAAGAAATAATCCGTGATATTCATTATAAATATATCATTAATTATTTAGTCACATAATTAGTTATTGTATTGGCATAAGAACAAGTAACTTGTAAGTAATTGAGTTTAGGGTAATAAAGAGTTTCTTGCAGCAACTATATAAATGGCAAAAACAAAACATTTTAATGATTACTAGAAATTATATAAGAAAAGATATGTTAATTTTCAATTTTTTCTACGAGGAAAACTGAAACGAGAACTATAACCTGTTATTTCGCAAGTAGGTCTTTTACATTTCATCAACACAATATTTATAGCTGATATTTTTCTTCACGATTCTAACTGATAAATACATAATAATTAAAGAATATACATTTAAAAGATGTTCTGGTTAAGTTATATCTAAATTAATTTTAAATTATTTATGTATTAAAAAGTTTATAACTAAAATCAATCTATTTATAATAACATAATCATTAATGAAACTAATAAAGAAAATATAATTAAACAGATGAGAAACGATAGACTGCGTAAACTTATAGTTAAATAGTAAAAATGACTTTAAAAGTTTTAAAATTATTTTCAAAATAAGATAAAAATCAAAAATATTTAATTAATTAATTTGAACGCTACAGAAAAGATAAAAAAAAACCACAAAAATATATGAGTTATTTTAGACAGAATTAAAATAACAACTAATAGAATATATTTAAAATAAATACAGTAAATTATTAAAAATCCGGACTGATTAGAGCCTGACAATCTGAATTTTCAAATTCGGATTAAATCAGGTAAATTAGCATTTTAAGTAATGTAAACTTCAAATATACTGTAGCCTAATTCAAGTTTAGGTGTTCTAAGTTCAAGTCAGTATTTCCACAAAATAAATAAATAAATAAATAGTCATTATAATTTTAAAACAAGTTTTTGTAGTAGTCATTTATCAGTTTCGAGACATCTGAAACGAACATTTCATTCACAATCGTAATTCTTAAAACATGTTTTGAATGTATAAAATCTCTTGGCACTACTTCTTTGTTTATTGCAACCACTTATGAAATCACCGTCAAGAAGTATATAAAGATGAAAACTATTGGTTTATATCAAATTTGCTCTCTAACAACATCAAGCATAGCTCCATTTATTGTATCGTAAGTTCATAATATAGGATGAAGTATTACCTGTTTATCTTTGCGTTAATCTTGGCTTATGTTCATTGTAAGTACAGTTTTAGAATTTGTGTCTTTTATATTTATAATTTATTTTCTCGTTTATTATGAAAATGTTTATCGCTATCGATACGCATTTAGTTTTGATAATAATTATATTGATTACAGATACCAACGCAGGAGGATGTTTCTGCTATAGTCGAGCTGGTACTTATTGCGGTTTCCAAAGAGAACACGGTTACATCGGTGGAGATTGCTCTAGAGATAATATGTACACCTGTTCGGGTGGCCATGGAGCATTAGCGGGTTGGGAAGGCAGATGCAGACGTGGCCAATGCACTGGAAGTGCTCCTGCTGGTCGCGATTACTGTAATCATGGAAGCGAGAAAGGCAGAAAGAGAAGATTTGCAGAATTGATTGGTCTTAAGAAAGTTTAATTTATATTTCATTAATATAAAATAGGTGTTATACATAAATAAAATTTAGATTTATATATCTTGTCGTAATTATTGATTTCTTATAATGTTTTTTCTTGCACTGATTTAAGACTATATTCTATTAATTAGCATTTAATAGGATGGCATCGATATATGACATTACTTATTAGCAATTTTTATGTTTATTATCTTTACGAGTTAATTTTGATTATAATGGAGTTTCTATTTGATCGTAAACACCGTTTTGTACGTGTTTTGTATTAATTATAAAAATTGATTAACGTTTTTATTCGTTCTGTTGTGTATATGTTGCAAACTTTAATTATTTTTACATTGATTAACGCGACCAAATACATGAAGTGCATATTTATTAAAGTACCCCACTCGCTACTCAGAACACTGTTAAATATTATTGTCGATTAATACGAATAATACTAACTAATAAAAAATATTTGCTTAATTTTTCATAAATCGCATATTTTTGCATAAAATTTATTAAAACACATATTTAAAAAAATTTTCATACGTTAATTTAATTTTATTGTGAAACATTAAGTTAATTAGCTAAAATGTTCCAATAAGTAAATTTAAATTTGAATACAGTATTTGCTTTAAAAATTCTCACTTCCAGTACGCATTAGACCGGGAATGAGCAATCTTCTTAAGTGCGCGTAACAAAATCTCTAAATTTATCATACAAAATTTTCTCACGTGCCAACCGAAATTTTAGGGAAATATGTATTTGGTCTGGAGGCTAGACGATGTTACGTAAAAACTAGATTTAGCAGTTTTCTTCTAAATTGGAAAACTGCTTGTAATCAGTACATCTCAGATATTACGTAGATGTCTTAGAAATACGATATTTGTTTAAGTTTCTTATTGTTTAGTATTATTCCTAAAACAGTTGACAGCATTTGTTTCTTTGTTGCAGTTTTATTCGGCATCATTCTACTCAAAAAAATGTATTTTATTAAGTTATAACATGGGTTACAACTCAGCGAAGATGTTGAATATTTATTTTTTGAACTCTAATTTGCGCGCCTTAAAAAAGCCGATGTTTGGCACATGTGCCAAGGGTTACTCACATGGCCGAATGGCCGAGCGGTTAAGGTGGTAACCTACCTCTCTAGGGGCCCGAGATCTATCCGGACGGGACAAAAAACTCCATAAAATTTTTTCGGAGGAGGTGCCAACAGAATGGAGAGTTAAGACAGTGATATACTAGGGATTTCTCGTCCCGGAGACATGTCTTTGAGCGACAAAAACCTGTTGACGTTCGGATACACAAGGAGACAAGTTGCCTGAGTCATATGATTGATATTTCTACCCGGTAATCGTAAATGTTTGTTAACAGCGTGAAAGCATGTATCTTTGAGAACCTTGTCGTGATATTCTTTCATAGTATCCTAAGTAATCCTAAGAATCCTAAATTGATTCTTAGGATTGAATTAATGAAATTAAACGTCGTGTCCTATCAACCGTTGACGAGCGACTATCCTCCATTTTTATTCATGTGATAAATCTACGGGCCCTCATTGGTCACAGCAAGCGATGAGAGACTTTTTGTCTCTCAAAAGTTAAAACGATTGACTTTTTGATAAATGCTCTCCCATGCCTGAGAAACAGGTTTTTCTGTCACCCGGCGACATGTCTCCCACAAAAATAACCTAGTGTGTCACGGCCTTTAGATATAAAAAAATATGCATTGTTATGAAGAGAAAAATAGATCAAAACAAAGTCTCCTCATGCCACTACCACGAAATTCCCGTATTAATTTATTTAAATATTTTTGTTTCTCCAGGATCTATACCAAAATTTCAGAAAGAAAGTAATTTAAAATGTGCATTTAATTGTAATGTATCCACTACGTGCAGATCCTATACAATTCAAAGAGCCATCTAAGAGTTGAACCATTTTACGCGGAGGAAATTGCTTACTTTTTAGCTGTCTTGTCCAAAGATCACACCTAAGAACGTATAGAAATGATATTCCCTTCTGTGTTTGAGTCTGCAAATATGCCTTAGTTAAATGCAGCTCTACAAATACTGTATCTCTTTGTAGCGCATAAGTTGAGACAAGTTTCTCATATTTTAAGAAGATTCTTCTATCAGATAGGAGTTATGGAAATATATTTACGACTGAATTTCAACACATTTGTTTCAGGGAACGTAACTAGGATGAATGTTTTTAATACAAAGAATTTTTTATAAAAATAAAATAAAAAACCAAAAATCTTTGATCAAAGTTACGTATATAAATTGAAAGAAGAGAAAATTGACTTTTTATTAGGCGTATTTATGATGGAAAACTTTTATATTTTAGAAGAGGTGCAATTCTAGAAATACTGAAAAATGTAAGTACTATACATCTAACCAAAAATGTGTATTTCAAATATTTTTGTATGTATCATATAATGTGCGATTAATACACGCATAAGTCTGATCGCCTTAATAACGAAAAATTATTTATTGTGACGTCGTTACAATGCCGGGCTTCAATTTTTAATCATATTGTAAATTTATTGAATTTAAAATACAATACTGTATATGCTCTCCACCTCAAATTAGTAGTGGCTTGCCCCTGTACATCATACTTTTCCTTTAACAATAGAGTTATGCCAGTCATCTATTAATAACTAATACTGTAACTTTTCCCCTGAAAACAATTATTGTTTTCAGGGGAAAAGTTAAAAATTTTTGACTCGAAACAACGCATTTTCCAGTTTGCATCAAAAGTTCATATATAGTTAATTGGGGTTTCCATATCTGGTCTCGTCTTTCATCTAACTAAATCCGTTCTCGAGATTAAGGAAGGACAGACAACAGTGAAAATTTATAGGTCTACAATTTTTTTCAAATTGCAGCCCAATAATGAGTACATTGTATAGAAAAAAAACACTCGCAATTCAAGATATGTCTGTGAAGACATTGCTCTCGTCAAGAGATTAATGTGTAAATAGATGGTTCTAAATAGGCTACTTGTTGTTTTCTATTGTCACAAGCAGTTTAATTTAAATACCTGTGTAATTTTAATATTACAATGTATAACAGTGTTCTTTCTATTAGAAAAGCGAAACGACAAGTATTTCGAACCAAAGTATTATTTATGAATTTCTTAATCTCTTGACGAGAGAAATGTCTTCTTCAATAATATAGAATTGTAAGTGTTGTTTCATACTGTGTACTCATTATTATTATTTTCACATGAAAACAATTGATTCGTATAACAATTATTTATTTTTATAATTACTTAATTTAATTAACTACCATTTAAAGACAAATATTTATACACTTATGATCCTTGTATCTCGTTTCAATTTTAAAAAGAAACTTAAAACAATAAGTAAATTATTGTTATATCATATTGTTAAATCATCTCTTACTTTGCATATATTACTTATGCTTGTATAATAGAATTCTCAGCTCTATGTAATGTAATGGAAAGAATATACATACTAAGTTATTTTGCATTGTACTGCTTTATTAACAAAAGTATAGTCGCTTCCGGGTGTAAGGGGCTGTCCATAAATTACGTCTACATTTTCCTTGAAATTTTTACTCCCCTCTTCTGACGTCCAACAAAACCCCCTCAAAACTTTTATCAGTTTGTGAATGATACTATAAGTAGAAACAAACATACAAGAAAATGCATAAACTATAAAATTTAACAAATTATTATTTCAGCTACTCAATAGTGCTATTTTTTCCAAACTTATCACAAAGACTTCTGTATAACTCTTTTTTTTTTTAAATGAAAATGTTATAAAATTTAATGAAATAAAACGGACGTTCACTGAAACTCAATCTCTCCCCTCACCCTTGTCTGTCTTATCGTAACTCCCTCCCTTCCTTCCAGTTTAGATGTGATTTATGGACAGCTCCTAATGTTTAATAAGCGCTGAAATTGTCCACAATGTCGATGTATGCGGCAGTGGTACTGACAAGGTCTTTGGAACCGTCATTGCCAATGATGGCGTCTGTTTAATGTGGCATCGCACATATATGTGTCTTTGTAGTTTGAACAATAAAATCGAAAGAGAAGCTGTACTATTGATCGATGGCGCATCTGGTGGATGTTTGATTTGAATATTCTCATTAGTCAGTTTTGACTAGTTGCGATTTCAATGTGGAAGTGCGAAATAAGCGGCCCACAAAGAGACGAAAGGGTTCTATTCAATTATTCTATTCTATTTTTCAATTATTTCATACAAACAATTAGAGATTGTTATCTAAAAATTAAAAATAACAGCCGATGCAAAATATTGTATGTTGCCTGTCAGCTTTAAATAACAGTCAAGAATTGTCATTTAAAGCTAATGATACATGTTTGGTTGCGGACAGGCAGAGAAATGGCTGTCCATTCATATCGCGATCCAAAGAACGCATCTCTAACCTGAAAATTAAGCGCTTTTTGTCATTTTATAATAATTAATAATATCAATAGTTTTTAAATAAAATATCACGGGAGTTAGGTAAATGAAAGTCGGGAACGTATATGGAAAGCTTAGAGGCACGAGACTCTTATTAACTATAGACTATATGAACCGGAAATGCAAACCGGAAAATGCGCTGTTTCAAGTCAAAACTTTCCCCTGAAAACAATTAATAGATGACTGGCATAACTCTATTGTTAAGGAAAAGTATGATGTACTGTACAGGGGCAAGCCATTACTAATTTGAGATTGAGAACGTATATTTTAAATTAATTATTACTAGTGTTGTAACGAATAGTATATTCGGCCTGAGGCCGAATACCGAATATTCGGCCAGGAGCGTGGCCGAATAGCCGAATATTCGGCCAAACTATTCGGCTTGATTAACGCACGTACGAAAATTGCCGTGCAAACCGCATTATGGCAAGGATCCTGCTCTCTATTGGCCCGCTGTTACTACGCTTCGCCAATCGCGTTAATTCTTGGCAGTTGTAGCGGACAGACAAGAGTGTCATGGAAGTATGTGATAAATGATGATATCAAATGTGGATAACAATGAAACAACCTACACGTGTAAATAACGGAAAAAGAACAGAGAAGGACCGCGAAGTGAAAATCTGAAAATAAATATGAAATTCAGTTGATAACATAATCGAATAAGTCGAGGCAGCTTATTGGCACGAAATTCGCGGCCGTCAATGCCAAACAATTGTTGTCATAGACTTCGGAAAGCTAAATGCTTGTAATGAAAGTCACTTAGCGTGCACGGGCGAAAGCCTGGGGCCGTTCGGGCTATCAAGCTGTCTCGAATCTGTGAAATCATAACTGTGACTTATATCGACGTCCTATCTGTCTCTTTTCTCCGTTATCACCAGGCTGAGTCACGTAATTGTAAAATGGGAACTCTACGACGGAAAAGTGACGAATCGAAAGTATCGTGAGCGCGTATTATGATGTATGCACAGGCATACATGGATTAGAGCGATAGAGGAAAGAGAAAGGGAAGAGCAAAGACGAGCGCTTAAAAAGAAGGATAGGCAGGGTCAGACCCTCAGATGTGCGACGATTCTCGAACGAATAGGTGTGTACGTGTGCTGATCTTTGTAATTATAAATTGTGAATACATGTGACTAATATTATTTTCTTTTTTATTTTGTGCATGTTACAAGTTATAAATAAATATAAACAAACAACACTAACTCGATAACATTAAATCTAAATACCAAAATGATTAATTTACTGTGTTTTTGTTATTTATTACTCCTGTTTTTAGGTATTCGGTATTCGGCCGAATAGTGAAAAATAGGCCGAATAGGCCGAATACCGAATAGTAACCGAATATTCGTTACATCACTAATATATATACATACACTTAACTACCATTTATACGCTAACATTTTACGCGCCCTTGGGTATATATACGTGTGTATATATATACACGTATATATACCCAAGGGCGCGTAAAATGTTAGCGTATAAATGGTAGTTAAGTGTATATATATATATTAGTGATGTAACGAATATTCGGTTACTATTCGGTATTCGGCCTATTCGGCCTATTTTTCACTATTCGGCCGAATACCGAATACCTAAAAACAGGAGTAATAAATAACAAAAACACAGTAAATTAATCATTTTGGTATTTAGATTTAATGTTATCGAGTTAGTGTTGTTTGTTTATAAATATAAACAAACAACACTAACTCGATAACTTCGGCCGAATAGTGATTAAATATTCGGTAATCGGCCGAATAGTGAAAAATAGGCCGAATACCGAATAGTAACCGAATATTCGTTACATCACTAATTATTACTTATTATAAAAAGTTTCTTGTCCTTTGATTATTATATTTTTGTCTTCTTTCATGTTAACAGCCAAATTGGTAGTTTATATTAGTGAAAGATTTTATAAATTTGCATTTCAGGTGTTATACACGCTGAAGATTTGCCTATTTTTTTTTTTTACCATTGAATGTGTGTGACGACAAGTAACGACAGTTTTCTGGCTGCAATCGAAACAGCCAGAAACACATTTAACTAAAAGTTTTTACGAATCATTTGTATAATTGCGATTTCTTCCGATTAAAAAATAGTTTTTGTGTATCATTTAGTGTTAAAAGCTAGAAGTATTTTGGTGTTTTATCGATAAAATCGAATAAAAAATAAAATTTGTACGAATAATTTAAATTTACTATATTGTGGTGATAAGTGAGTTAAGATTGTTCCTCTTCTGATTAAATAAAAAATTTTTGGATATACGTTTAATATTTTAAATCTGGCTTCAGAAATATAAGAGGAATGAAGCAGTTTTTTTATTTTATTTTTTTTATTGGATGTATTGCTAATAATAGCATTTAAAATGTTGTTATATGTGGTTAAGTATTTTCAATTTAAATTAAATTTCCGTTTAAAATTCGACATTTCATATTTGATTTTAAAATATTAATACAACAATAACACGAATAAAAACGTCAATTAATTTTTTAAATAAATACAAAATTAATTATAATCCTTTTATATGCATTTTAATGTCTACAAAACAACAAATTTAACTTTAAAAATACCGTATTACAACCGAATGGAATCATCCGATATATTCGGAATAACACGTAAACACTATAAACAAAATAATTGTCAATAATTAACGTCATATTTCGAATAGAAGAGCATTATGTTAAGTCATTGCAAAAAGAAAAAAAAAATGTAATGAGAAATCTATAATTATGACAAAATAGGTAAATCTAAATTTTATCTAATTATAACAGTTATTTTATATTCATTAAAAATAAATTAAGCTTTCTTAAGACCAATCAATTCTGCAAATCTCTTCTTCCTGCCTCTCTCGCTTCCATGATTACAGTAATCCCGACCAGCAGGAGAACTTCCAGTGCATCGGCCACGTCTGCATCTACCTTCCCAACCCGCTAATGCTCCATTGCCACCCGGACAGGTGTACATATTATCTCTAGAGCAATCTCCACCGATGTAACCGTGTTCTCTTTGGAAACCGCAATAAGTACCAGCTCGACTATAGCAGAAACAACCTCCTGCGTTGGTATCTGTAATTAATATAATTCTTATCAAAACTAAATACGTATCGACAGCGATAAACATTTTTCATAATAAACAAAAAAATATATTATAAATATGAAGAACAAATTGTAAAACTGTACTTACAATGAACATAAGCCAAAATTAACGCAACGATAAACAGGTAATACTTCATCCTATATTATGAACTTACGATACAATAAATGGAGCTATGCTTGATGTTGTTAGAGAGCAAATTTGATATAAACCAATAGTTTTCATCTTTATATACTGCTNATTTACTATATTGTGGTGATAAGTGAGTTAAGATTGTTCCTCTTCTGATTAAATAAAAAATTTTTGGATATACGTTTAATATTTTAAATCTGGCTTCAGAAATATAAGAGGAATGAAGCAGTTTTTTTATTTTATTTTTTTTATTGGATGTATTGCTAATAATAGCATTTAAAATGTTGTTATATGTGGTTAAGTATTTTCAATTTAAATTAAATTTCCGTTTAAAATTCGACATTTCATATTTGATTTTAAAATATTAATACTACAATAACATGAATAAATACGTCAATTAATTTTTTAAATAAATACAAAATTAATTATAATCCTTTTATATGCATTTTAATATCTACAAAACAAATTTAACTTTAAAAATACTGTATTACAACCGAATGGAATCGTCCGATATATTCGGAATAAGACGTAAACACTATAAACAAAATAATTGTCAATAATTAACGTCATATTTCGAATAGAAGAGCATTATGTTAAGTCATTGCAAAAAGAAAAAAAAAATGTAATGAGAAATCTATAATTATGACAAAATAGGTAAATCTAAATTTTATCTAATTATAACAGTTATTTTATATTCATTAAAAATAAATTAAGCTTTCTTAAGACCAATCAATTCTGCAAATCTCTTCTTCCTGCCTCTCTCGCTTCCATGATTACAGTAATCCCGACCAGCAGGAGAACTTCCAGTGCATCGGCCACGTCTGCATCTACCTTCCCAACCCGCTAATGCTCCATTGCCACCCGGACAGGTGTACATATTATCTCTAGAGCAATCTCCACCGATGTAACCGTGTTCTCTTTGGAAACCGCAATAAGTACCAGCTCGACTATAGCAGAAACAACCTCCTGCGTTGGTATCTGTAATTAATATAATTCTTATCAAAACTAAATGCGTATCGACAGCGATAAACATTTTTCATAATAAACAAAAAAATATATTATAAATATGAAGAACAAATTGTAAAACTGTACTTACAATGAACATAAGCCAAAATTAACGCAACGATAAACAGGTAATACTTCATCCTATATTATGAACTTACGATACAATAAATGGAGCTATGCTTGATGTTGTTAGAGAGCAAATTTGATATAAACCAATAGTTTTCATCTTTATATACTGTTGGTGGTTTCAGAAGTGGTTGCAATAAACAAATAATAACAAATACTTTCAAAACAAGTTTTAAGAATTACGATGTTAAATGAAATATTCTTTCTCGGATTTCTCGATACTGATAAACGACTATTAAGAAACTTGTTTTAAAATTATAATCACTTTGTTTGTGGGAATGGTGATATGTGAACAGAATATAATCATTTGTAAATAAAAGCATTTTATCCTAATTGTATAATCTGCTTTGTTCCAATGAATTTTATATCAGAAAACATATTAATTACAAAAGACCACGTCGGAAATGCGAAAAATATAATTGTTCTTTAAAATTATTTGCATTAAAATAAAATTATTTATTTTAAATATATCCTATTAGCTGTAATTTGAATCTATAGTCTAAAATAACTCATAAATATATATATTTTATGATATTTAAAAAATTTTTTTCTATGGCGTTTTCATTATTTAACTACTTACTGTTTACCAGTCTATTTAATTATAATATTTTATTTATTAATTGATTAATGATTATTTTTATCATGAATATATTGATTTTAGTTATAAACTTTTTAAATACATACAGAATTTAAAATTAACTTAGATGTAACTTAATCAGAACATCTCCTAAGTGTATATTTTTTAAAAATTATTATGTAATTTATAAGTTAGAATCGTGCAGAAAAATACCAGCTATAATATTGTATTGATGAAATGTAATAAACCTACTTGTGAAATAACAGGTTTTTCACTTTCAGTTTTATTGTAATAAAAATTGAAAATTAACGTATCTTTCCTTATGTAATTTCTTGCAATCATAAAAACTGTTGTTTCCACTTATCTTAGTTGAGCCACGAAAATAAGCCTTAATCTTAATTATGAGTTATTTTACTCACAAGTTACTTATTTTAACTAAATACAATAAATAATAAACAAACACAATAACTAACTAAATATAATAAATAATGCTATATTTATATTAAATATTACAGATTATTTCTATAGAGCAATTTGATAGATATTTACAATCAGAGCAGTACTATGTTATGAGGAAAGATAGGTTAATTTTCATCTCTTGTTACAAAAAGCAATAAAATTTAGTTTCATTTCTTCTTTATCCCGTTATTTAAAAACATATGTTACATTTTATCAACCAAATATCGTAAATGACTTTTTTATGCACGATTCTATAAATTATGTATAATAATTAGAGAAATATACGTTTAAGAGATTTAAGTTATATTTAAGTTAATTTAAAATTATTTATAAATAAAAAAAATAATTATAATTAAAATACATTTATTTGTATAATTTACTATAAAGAAATCTATGTCAGTTTCCCAAACGTTCAGATATCATTTAATAAGTATAAATTTAAGAATTAGTGAAAACGAAATGTGTTAAATTAGTCATTGTTATCCCATAATTAAAGCGAAATTTTAGGATAGACCTATGAAAAACATTAGGAAAATTCTGACCTTCGAACTTTGATGTCAAGGTAACGACTTTTCGAAGAGTAGTAGTTTTTTTCGATCAAACAAGATGTATTGTAAACTGGTTTAAAAACTGTTGCAATAATAATTTCATTTCTCGGGCCGCTCAATAAGTTTCGTTATGTAAATGGCAATTTATTTTCATTTTTGACTACTGTATTATCGACTTGTGGGTACTTTTTTCATACCTTTAGTGCGTTTAAAGAGAACCACAATTGGGTAGCCGGATAGTGACGTATACGGTGCAACATATGCAAGACAGAATGCCCATGAAAAATTCCTTCCATTCAATATCTCTCGGAGCAGTATTCTTACGCCTCAACCGCCTGAGTTATCTGGCCGTCATGTAGGCTAAATGACGTCATAAATAAGAAGATACATATGAATTGCCGATTGTATTGTTGTCGATCAGAAGTTCAGCTCGATATATTGAACACTCTGCCACCTAAATTTTTTCCATAGAATCGTAGCCAGTTCCTCAACGATATCCAGTAATCGTCATGCAATGAACAACATTTACAGGAATCCTATGGTATCTCAGTTAAAATATGAGACTGCTGTTAATCGTGAAAATACAAGATATAGCAGTCTAGATAACACTTAGAGCGGTGACCTTCTCCTTTATAAATGTAATACAATAGACAGCATTTGTATTTTATTTGTTACTAGCTGTTACCCGCGACTTCGCCCGCGAAAGTTTTGCAAGCAAACTTATTTATATTCAGTATTTCAATAACCATAGTAATTGTTATAGCCTATAATATCTACCACCGAGAATGATAAGAATTGCCGAGAATCAAACGAAATGTTTTCAATTTGATGAATTTTCTCGAACGTTTACAATCGTTCTATAATCGAACCAATACGCAATAACAAATTCGAATTTAAAACGGTTCGAACATTTGGATAAAAAATCGAAATATATAAAAATATTTATAACAATGTCTGAAATGAAATGCTCTCCCCCCGCTGGGGAATTCCGACAAATCCCTTCTCAGTGTGCATTCCCTTGNGTTACCCGCGACTTCGCCCGCGAAAGTTTTGCAAGCAAACTTATTTGTATTCAGTATTTCAATAACCATAGTAATTGTTATAGCCTATAATATCTACCACCGAGAATGATAAGAATTGCCGAGAATCAAACGAAATGTTTTCAATTTGATGAATTTTCTCGAACGTTTACAATCGTTCTATAATCGAACCAATACGCAATAACAAATTCGAATTTAAAACGGTTCGAACATTTGGATAAAAAATCGAAATATATAAAAATATTTATAACAATGTCTGAAATGAAATGCTCTCCCCCCGCTGGGGAATTCCGACAAATCCCTTCTTAGTGTGCATTCCCATGGCGTACCCTACTAAAACGCAGTTAGAAACAAAAAATCGCATCTAAAATATTACAGCAGAAGCCGTTCTTCCGGTTAAGCCTTAATGCTCTCCCTCTCCCCCCGTGAGAGAATTTCGAAAAATCCCTTCTCAGTGCGCATTTTCATGACGTACCGTGTACCAAATTTCACCTCTTTAGGTTCAGTGGTTTGCTCTGGGCGATGATGAATCAGTGAGTCAGTCAGGACAAGCAATTTTATATACTGTATAGAGATTTTTCTCAAGTGAAGTATAACTTATATTAAAATAAGGAAAGGCCATAGAACAAACGGTCCACTACTGAATAAACAAGACAAAAACCACTTATATCAACCCAAAAACATCGATAATGTAAGAGATGACGACAAAGACAAAAATTTATTTATTTATTTAAATAATTGATATGTTCATTTTACTTCTTTATTAGTTAAAAACTAATTAACATCGATTATACAGTACATATGGTCGGGAGCATATCAGACGATTTTTTTCAGCTATCCACCAAAAATAATTAATTAAAACATTACTTCCCATTAATATAACATTGTTATTCATCAATACCAATAGTCTACATTGTAGACTAAATCAGATACTTATGGAATTTCCTTTCATTTACTCTTTATTTTTTCAATTTATAACTAAATTATATTCACTATATAAATATGTTTATTTATATATATTTACCTTGATTATATTTATTAACTTCATAATTTGTTATGTAGGTTATGGATGGAATACAACCACCAGAAGATGATCTAACTATAAAGAATTTATCCCCGAAGTTAAAGGAAGAAAAAATTAATCTTAAAAAATGAAAAGGAATCACTGAAGAAAGAAATTATAATGAAATTGACTCTGTCTTACATTTTATCCAAAGTTCAAATGATTAATATTGGTGCAAAAATTAATATATATAAAACCAGCAACCAGTTGCTCAACTTTCCCGGCAACAATTAAAATTTTTGGTGGCGCCATCTGTTATCGTATTTTATTTAGAACTTTTTATATTTTTAACTACTATAAAATGGAAAAACGGATTAATTTTGAGGGTACGGATGTTTTATTTAAAAAAAAAAAATTGTAAATGATAATAACCAGTAAAATCGTCATTAAATCCGATCCTACTGCAGATACACACTTTCCTTATTATCTTCCCACCCCATCGACCTTCAACCACCAAAGTTTAGCAGCATCGATCCCCCTAATAAACAAACCTCCCTGCAAAATGTCAGAAATTTTCGACAAAAAGTACAGGAGTTATTAAGCATTAAACGGGATGAACAAAATATATACAGTAACTATATACAGTTGTCCCTCTATAGTCCGACGTTTTTTAATCCGTCATGCTCAGTAGTCCGACGCACCTCCCGTCAAAGTACCCGTCCCCGTTACGTGTCTGCTTGCACAGAAGCATGTCGCGATGTGAATCTCCCCATCCAATTCTTACTCGATGACACACATTTCGTGTGTTTTATGTGAGCAGTTCTGTTCGAACAGTTGGAGTAGAGAATATTGTAAGTTACTGCTAGCAAAACAATGCGAAATATGTAATTATTTTCGGTAATCCGGACACTTT